GAGGGGGGGGGGGGGGAGTAGAACCGGGGGGGGAGTAGAACCGGGGGGGGAGTAGAACCGGAGGGGTTACATTGGTGCCGTGATGGGAGTGAGGTTTAGGGGAGTGAGCGTAATAGAGGCCAGCTGGTAAGAGCTGTGCGGGTAAACCTCACTCCCCTGATCTCAAGAGGTCCACTAGCGACTGACACTAGAAGCTGCAGTCTTTAGTGTCCTTGCTAATGCGTCTGCCTCCCATGCTGGAAACACCCGTTCGAATCGTGCTCAGAGCAAGAACCGGGGGAGTAGAACTGGAGGCGTTACATTGGTGCCGTGACCCGGATGGGAGTGAGGTTTAGGGGAGCGAGTGTAATAGAGGCCAGCTGGTAAGAGCTGTGCGGGTAAACCTCACTCCCCTGATCTCAAGTTTTCAGAGGCCAGAAAAAGCACCCAAATATAATGCATAAAAAATACTATTAAAATACCAATTAATTTAGCTAATACATACAACACAACTGCATGACAGAAAGTACACTTGTTATATTCAATATCACTCACTCAAAAAAATGCGCACAACACTGTTGAGTAGATTTTGACACAAGAAGTAACAACAGAACCAAACAAAGATGGCATAAACCTACTTAAACAAAACAGATGAACAACACAAGTTCTTCTAAAAACCCTCCATGTTCTTGTTTTCCCTCTCTACGCAACATAAATACAAATAAAAGACATAAAACTGAGCCTCACCCCCCTTAACTCGATTCATTGGGGTGCTGTGTATGAATGTGATGAGCAAAGCTATTTTAATATTCAACTCCCAGCACAGTTCCTCCTAAATATGTCTTTAAGCACACAAGAATTTAGCACTCCGCCAGCTGTCTCTTGTGAATCACCGATTTTGGATTGTTTGACGTTTCTGGAGTGTCACGAGGGAGCAGAGACCACTGCCAAAACGGCATTATTGATCTCCATCCAGCTCCAATAAGATCCCCGAACATCTCGGCCTACAGTACGTCTGCCTCCTTAACTTCCAATTTCCTTGTAAACGATCACCCGAGTGGGTTTTTTCAACAGTCTTTATGGAGAAAGGAAGTGAATACACATGTTTCCCCCCAAGGATTTTCCCAGTGGACCTCTGCTCCACTTTCATAATCCCGGTAAAAAGAGAATATGTAATTCAACAAATAGGAGAATTGTTTAAAAATATCTTCTCAGTGTCTCTCGCTCTCTGGCTTCAACCATGGCCGCCCTGCAGCACGGCAGCATATTAGAGGGGGGGTCTCACTTAGAAACCAATTATGAAAGAATTCTTTTGAAACCAACAGTATAAAAGCACAGACGTTCCAAAAATGCCAAAAATAAGTGTTTTTGTTTCTATACTACATGCATTCCTGCTACAGTCGGGGCCCCCATGCAGTACACTTAGTAACTAACTGAATTAATTTATTTTATATATGTTGTTCTTACATGAATCTTGCATGTCCTAAAAAACATGAATTAAATTAAAAATAAATATATAAAATAACTTTTTTTTAAATATGTTTTTTTAATAGTTATTTATAATGAAATAAAAAAAATGTTGAAAGCTATATAGGTTGATATATACATATAGTTTACTTATGTAAAATAAATACATTTAAATAAAAATATAAATAATTATATACGGTAATGAATATTATGTATACACAATAAGAAAATAAATAAATAAGTTATAAATTATAGAAATTGTTTTTAAATATAACAACATTAAATCACAAATAAAGTAAATAATGATTATATATAATGAAAAACAAATGATATATATATATATATATATATATATATATAAAAAAAGAGTGACTTTTAAGGCTCTTTCATCCACACAAACCGCACAAATTTCAATTTCTGCTTTTGTTTATCACTTCAAAATGGATTACACACTAATCTCGTGTGATTAAGGGGATGAATATTAAGAGAACGGCATGTTGGAAAACCACAGATGGTCGTTCACAGACGAGAGATGGCAAACTGATCAAAGGAACCACGGCGGTGCGTTTGTTGACGTGCAATGAGAAAAGTCAGAAGCTAGTTTATGCAGTTGCACATACCGTACAAGCAAAAGTGTATATTCCGACTGTATGCAGAGACAATACTCACTGGAAAAACCTCATATTTATTTAAATGAGCTCAGTAATTGCCAAACTATCAGGAATAATGAGCAAGGGGCATTTATTTGCCAAATACTGACAGGAAAAATAACTTTAAACTAACACGTTTACTATGTTATCACAAGATATTTGGCCGAAGGCAACTGACCTCGACTGTGATTTCCTCTAATCTCATAAAAGGCATGTCAGGAATATTTCTTCCTGCATACACTGAATTTCAAAAGATATATCATTGCCTACTATTTAAAAAAAGATAATTATGCAGCCTGTCATATGTACAAAAGCTTTCTCATCTCTTTATCCTCTCAGAATCGGTGCATTCAAGGACTTTATCGTGTGAAAAACCGCATAACACTTCACGTAACAATTCCTGCAATTAAAATTGTACCTTTTATCTCAGGCTCAGTATTTCTCTTCCAGCAATATTTATGAGTGTGTTTCCCATTTTTACTGAAGTGTTTTGGAAACCTATTCATTTTATAATAGAAATGTGAAGTTCGATTGTTTTTGTGTTGAAATCTCATTGGCATTGGGCAAAATGACATGCAACTTGGCAGAAAGTGTAAAACTCTTTTTAAAAAGATAATTTATATGAATATGCAGCTTAATAATGCACTTTTGATTAGTTTGTGGTCTTTGTGACCATGTTAAATCTGAACTTGTCCTTTAAAATACCATTAAATTCTTAGGGAAAATCTGCTGCCCTCTGTCCGAAAGTTGTCAATGGGAAGAAGGTTTACCTTCCAACATGACAATGACCCAAAGCATACAGCAAAACTGTTGGTGTTATATCTTTCATTTGGATGTTATAAGTAGCACTGAGTAAATACAGCTGGATAAAATTAATTTAGTGATTAATTTAAAGAGAGGTGATTGTTTTCTATACCCACTGTTTATGATGTTTTTTTATTAAAGTGTAAAATAAAATATATAAATACAAATAATTTTCTATATATACATTAATAGTTTAGATAAATGGGATAGTGAAATAAAATGAATATATGGTGCGATGTCTGTTGTTGATGGACTCACATATGGTTGGCGTTTCATCAGAGCCGTCAGGGCAGTCGTGCTCCCCGTCACACAGCCAGCTCTCAGAAACACAGCTGTGTCCGTCCGCACATAGATATTCCTCCACGTCACACACTTGAGGAAGAGCGGAGAGCAGGGTGAAGAGATGATGATGAGGGGAGAGAATGAAAAATGAGACGTCATGAATGACATGTTATAGTATGTTTCAAGTTTGTGTGTTGAGTATGGACTTATTATCATAGAAACATTTTTTAAGCTGGATGTGGGTTGACAGTAAAATGACAGATAAAGTGTGAGTGAGTGAGTGAGTGAGTGAGTGAGTGAGTGAGTGAGTGAGTGAGTGAGTGAGTGAGTGAGTGAGTGAGTG